ATATATATATATATATATATATATATATATATGTAGTCATGGAATGTGGAGTATAGTGTGGGAGTGGAGTCAATGGAATTGTAATAGATATGTATGATATCGGCCGGGGTTGGGTGTGGGGAGTGGGGCAGAGGATTGGAAGGAGGGGGGTTGTCACTTTGAGGAGTAAAAAGTATAACTATTGCACTGTGTTGTACACTTGAAACTAATTTTTTTTAAATAATAATAAAATAAATAATAATAAAAAAAAGAAAAAGAAAAAGAAGAATTCTAAGAACCACATGTAGCACTCCTTTAAGTCAATAGCCTGCCAATGCTGATGCACTTGAACTCTACCAAGCTCCCCCTCGTTGTGGCTTTCTGAGACTCCAGCGGGCCCCAAAGGGTGTGGACAGCAACTCTCTTCTCTATATTCAAAATTTCACTGACCACAAATTGAGCATCCTCTTCCATGCATAACCTCATGGTCCCCTTGGCATGAGTTGTTCCTGACTCAACAGCTATGACCTGAAATAAGTCAAAAATAATAATTTCTGTAATCAGTTAACCTTTTTTTTTTAACTTTTATTGGGAAACAGTGTGGTTTTTCCAGGACCCATCAGCTTGAAGTCAAGTTGTTTTTTTCAATCTAGTTGTGGAGGGCACAGCTCACTGGCCCATGTGGGAATCGAACCCACAACGTTGGTGTTATGAGCCTTCGCTCTAACCACCTAAGCTAACTGCCTGCCCCAGTTAACCTTCTTTTAAACATGGCAATTTGAAATAATCTTGTTGTGAGGAAGAATGATTGAATGTGCTATGAGATCCTAAGTTATTAAATGGGAGGACCTGACATCATACAGCAAGGCACTTAGTTGCAAAAGCTGATGTGCCTGGGAGCTTTAATCCTTTAATTATTTGGCTTTAATTCTTTAGCAGAGAGAAAGGGGAGGTGGACCTCCAGGCCTAAGGAACAGCAACAAGGAAAGTGAACTCTGGCTGGTGTCTGTTCCCCTGGGGAGGCCTTCTAAGGAGAAAAAGGAAAGCATAGTACCTGGTTTCAGGTGGACATAAGAATTTAAGGAACTTAAGGGTTTCGAATGTTCCTTAGGAAGTAGTTCAAGGCAAACAGTCTTAGGAATGGCAACAGCATGGAAAAAGTCAACTAGGATTTATGAAAATCTATATTAGTCTGCTTGGGAAGAAATTTATTTTCTCACAGTTCTGGAGGGTGGGAAGTCCAAGATCAAGGTGCTGGCTGATTTGGTTCCTGGTAAGCTCTCTTCCTGGCTTGCAGATGGCAGCCTTTCACATGTCTTGTGTGTGTGTGGGGGGGGGGGGGGGAGTGGGGAGTGATAGAAAGCAAGATCTCTATTGTCTCTTTACCCTATCAGATCAGGGCACCACCCTTATGACCCCATTTAACCTTAATTACCTCCTTATTCACTCGATCTCCAAACACAGTCTGAAGACTGGGACTTCAACATATGAATTGGGGTGGGACACAATTCACTACACAGCAGAAACTTTACACAGTATCTCTTTCCAGTGGTCACCCAGCCATCACATCAATGATCCTAATGGTGAGACATAATTACCTGCCAGTACTTCATTGTGGGAAAGTTCTAATGGTTAGAAAGCACATGTGATAGGAAGTCACATTTGCATTCCCCAAACTTCAGTGTTTGCTTTCATGTTGTGCTCTTAGGATCATCACCTCTCCCCCTCCCCCCCCCAATAAAAGAAAAATAAGGAAAGAAAGGAAAAAAATGTTAATTCAAATCTCTCCTTAACAGCCCTGTAACTAAAGATAACTGTAGCAATTATTGATCTTAGTGCAAAAAAAAAATTTCCCCATCACAGAATGTTTGCTAACTGCATACAAGTTTTACCGAAATGCATTCTATAGTCTGTTTCAGACTCTGATTGAAATTAACTTCCATCGTAATATACTATTTCTACACAGTGATTCCCAAAATGCGGTCCCCAAACAAGCAGCTCCAGCATCACCTAGGAACTTGTTAGACTTGCAAATTTAAGAACCCCAATCCAGACCTACAGAACTGAGACTCGGGTGGAGCCCAGCAACTTGTGTTTTAACAAGCGCTCGGACTGGTTCCGATGCACGTTAAGGGAGGAGAAGCATGGATTTAAGTCCGATGTTAAAGTTTCGGTTAGTGATCGCGTCGTAGCAGTGTTAGGCGACTAATAGGGTGTCAAGTGTTAAGCTTGAATAGTGGTGACAAGTTCCAATCATCTATCTCTTTTTGATCTGCGGGTAAAATGCTTTCCATTTTAATTAACCGTGCTGTTGTTCTAGTCAATGTCGCAGTTTTGCACGAGGATGCAGCAGTCCCCTCACTGCCCTACCTGTCTCCCCGCCCTGTCTGGAGTTACCTAGTTTACCAACAAAGCCCGCCCCTGCAGTGGCGGAAAATTCAACTTCCAGAGGCGTGAGCAGGTCTCGACCAATCAGAAGCCGGGCTCGAGCCGCTCGCCCATTCTGGCAGAGGGATTGGTGGTTTCCCGGCGGAAGAGCCTTGTCGATGCACCGCCCCCCGCCCTCCAGCGCGAGCCAATCGGCGCTCGGCGCTCTTAAGTGGCCAAAAAGCAGCGCCCGCGGTTGAACATGGCGGAGGACGCCGCGGAGGCGCGGAGCTCGCGGGGGCGTGCTGATGGCGAGGATGCTGGCCCCTCCGAGAACGAGCCGCCCGAAACAGCGAGGGATGATCAGGAGCAGTTCGAGTGCCAGGAACTCCTCGAGTGCCAGATTGAGATGGGGGCTCCCGAGGAAGAGGAGGACGCGGGCCTGGTGGCGGAGGCCGAGGCCGTCGCTGCTGGCTGGATGCTCGATTTCCTCTGCCTCTCCCTTTGCCGGGCCTTCCGCGACGGCCGCTCGGAGGACTTCCTCCGGACCCGTGACAGCGCGGAGGGTAAGTGCTTGGTGGCGCCTGGGCGGGGGGCTGCGCCGGGGAACGGGAACTTGGCGGGAGGCCGAGGCCATGTTTGCAGCCCTGCCCCCCCAGGTGGATCGGGGGAGAGAAGCAGCTGAGGAGGGATGGAGGCCTGGATTGGACGTTGGCTCGAACCCCGACCCCCCCTATTATCAGCTCCTGGTTTTTTTCCGATTCTTAGTGTTTCCGAGAAAAATGAGAATAAGACACCCCCCCACACCCCCACACCCCTTAGAGTTGGATACAGGAGTTAAAATGTACAAGTTTTCACCCAGCCCAGTGTCCGATTCCTTGTGTCTCCCTTGTCGCTTGTATTTGTTGTTTCTTTCGACTCCGGTCCTCGTGTAATGTCATTGAGTCAGCAGTCGCTGTGGTCTCCAAGTGACCTGGGCACCAGTGTTTTCTGTTAGTTTGTGAGCTGCTTACACCGCATTTTTGGCCGCCTCGCCCGGGACTGTAGGCTTCACAATACGAGTGACTGTCAGCGAAACCTGCCTACACGAGACAGCTTGTCAAGGACGGACAAAGACGTAGATCTGTAGAGAAGATTAGCTTCGCTTTTTGAATAACAGAAAGCTGCTCTGGTCTTTATTTCAGAACCAGTTCTCAACGTACTGCAGCTGGGTGCAACCCCAAGGTGGTAGTTAATAGAAAATGGAATGCTTAAGAAAAGCGTATTGACACGTTTCGTCTTCACAGCAACCCCGTGCGTTAGGCCAATTATCTTAGTTTATAGAGAAGCGAACTGGTTAAGCATCCTCAAGTCTTGAGAGCTTTGCGCCCCTTTTAAGGGCGTGTTCCAGACCCATGCTTATCTTCCAGTTCTAGAACCTTTCCTCTCACTCTGTCATAGATAACACTAGAGCCATGGATAATTAGCATTAATTAGAAAGTTAGATGACAGAATCATTCAATAACTGGGAGCAGAGCCGAATCTCCCATGCAGGAGAATTGCAAGTAATGTCTGCAGCTGCTCTGTCCTCAAGGAGGGTGGAGCTTAACTCCTCATTCCGAAGTGTGGGCTGCGCGTAGGGGCTGTTTTCGGAAGGGTGCAGTACAGAAAGGGGAGAAAGAGTAACTTTATAGTAGAGACACCTGACACACTCGACCTCCTCACCGAGGTAATCGCGGTCAGCAGTGATGATAGTTGGTAGTGGGCACACTTGATATGCGATGGCGAAAATGGAACTTGACCTCTATGGTCTTCCGTCCCAGAGCTTATAACTCTAGTCTAATCATGAGGAAAAACACATCAGGCAAATCCCAGTAGAGGTGCATTTTGCAAAATACCTCAAAACTGTCAGGGTCATCAAAGCCAAGGAAAGTCTGATGACTAAGTGTGATGTGGTGCTCTAGATGGATGGGATCCTGCAGCAGAAAAAGGACATTGTAAAAACGAAGAAAACCTGACTACAGCACAGATTTCAGTTAATGTTTCAATATTGGTTCATTAATTTAACATATATATCCTACTAATGTAAGATGTTAATAGGGAAACTGGGTGGAGGGTATATGGGACCTCTACTATCGTCACAGTAATTCTGTAAATGTACAAACTTTTAAAAAATAGTGTTTATGAAAAAAAAAAACCCTTTTCAAGGTTCTAGTTCAAGACCTGAGAAGAGAAATATCTAGGCCACCTCCATTATTTTAAGGTTAATAACAGAAAAGAAACCCAAAGAGAGTAAACTGTTTTTCAAGTTGCACTACTAATCCATGGAAGATACGCAAATTGTGAACATAGTTTTATCTTTTGTCTCTGATTCCCATTTTGACTGAAAGGACTCCCTTTTATCTTTTATAGAACTTGATTCATTATGCTTTTCAATATTGTAAAAATATACGACTCTTGATGCTTTCTAGAAAATTCTTAGCTCTTTCATTCCAGCTCAGAATTGCTCTCACATCTCACATGGATAATGCCTTTTCCAGACTGTTACTCATAACCGATCTCCTACCATGGGAACCAGTGTGGGGGGTTAGGAGCGTGGACTCCAGAGTAAATTGTCTGCATTTGATTCCTGGCTCTGCTACTATATAGCTGTATGACCTGAAGCAAATTGCTTACCCTCTTGGTACCTCAATTTCCTCATCTGTAAAATGGTGATAATAATAGTATTTACCTCATAGGGCTGTTGAGAGAAGCAAGTGAACTGATATGTATAAAGCAGTTTCTCAGCCTCTGCACTGTTGACATTTTGCACCACATAATTGTTTGTTCTGTGTCTGCATGAGGGTGGAGGGGCGTGGGGATGAGGGTTCTCCTGTGCATTGTAGGGTGTTCAACAGCATCCCTGACCTCAACCACTAGGTGCCAGCACCCTCTTCCACCCAAGACAATCAGAAATGTCTCCAGACATTGCTCAATGTCCCCTAAGAGACAAAATCACCCCCAGTTGAAACTACTAGTATAAACCACCCGTATAAAGAATACTTCCTGATATTATGATAAGTGCTTCAATACAGTTGGCTCTTGTTGCTAGTCATTAGATCCTCCCTAGTGTGTTTTTCTGTCAGCAGTGTTTGGTTACAGGTCTGGAAAAAGCAGATAGCCAGGTTCAGCCAGAGTATGTTTTCCTTGTTTTGTTTTGTTTTTTTGCCTACCAGGTAGAAAGAACAGAAGGGCAGTGGTATGTAGGATATCTATAGTTATTGCATAGTTGACTAGATGGAATATGGAGGGAAGTGAATATAAAAGGGTCTGACTTTCTTCCCTAGAATACGTTAGGTCTTTCTTTTTCTTTTTCTTTTTTTTTTGTATAGCTGAGCCATCCTGCCATCTCTTGGCAGCTCAGCGGCAGCTCAGCTCAGGCCGGGAATCGAACCGGCGACCCTGTTGCTCAGAGCTCACACTCTTGAGCGAGCTCTTAACCAACTGAGCCGCTCGGCCGGCCTGGTTAGTTCTTTTATTTTGCTCCCATACCATACTTACCCATTGTGGCATTTATTAAAATTTTAATTAGTCACTTGCATAACTTTCTTCAATTTGTGCCTTAGACTAAAACTGTCATCAAGGGGAGGGAGTGGCTATCCCATCATTCCGTCATCAATCCCTAGCAGTAGATGTTCAGTAAATACTGAACGAATTGTGTTTCAATTTTATTTAAATTTTATGCTGTCCTTGAATCCTATTTAATTATAGTATGGCTATATTTAGCCCCAGTAATTGCTAGTATAGTATAAGACAATGGCATTTTAGTTTAAGGAAATAAATACAAATAAATGTATTTATTTGTCTTCCCTGCTTAGTGGCTGCAGGACTGCTGTTGGGTTTGCTAGCTAATTTAACCTCTTTATATACACCAGGCCAGCCCTGGGTGAAGTATAATACTAACAGTGGCACTTTCTGGTCTTGAAACATTTCGTCTGAGAAGCCTTCCCTGGTATCTCTTCCCTCCAACTGGCTAGTATACCAAAACGCATGGTAACATTGTTATGTTTCCATAGCATTCTATACTTGCCTTTTTAGGTTTTCTCTACCTTTTTACTTTAGTTGTTCAGTCATTTTTTCTTTTATTGCTACATGATACGAAACTCTCTGAGGTCCAGGACCATGGTTTATTCACCATTGTGTACAATCACTGCCTAGCATAACATCTGGGTGCACATTCAAATATTTGGGAGATTAATATTAATATGTTTCTATAATCTTTGTAAACGAAACAGACCCTCAGTTAACTGAAACCTTGACAAAAATAATATGAGATATTTCCCATAATATTAGGAATTTTAAGGTATAAAATAAGCTTCCAGATAGTGATTTGACTCACTTTACAGTTTGGCTCGCACTCTCTCTTTTTGTTAGAGTGCTACTTGTGAAAGTAGTTTTACATATTTATTATACATGTGAAACATCAGTTTTGTTTTGCAAGTGTTCATTCCTATTTTTTGTTCAGATTTTTAAAAAAATTGTCTATAAAAGCATGCAGCTCTAAATTTTTGATAATTTTTGCATGGTGTTTATAACCTATTTTCTCAACAAACCACACAGGCATTGCTGGGTCAAGGTATTTTTCTATTTTCTAAAATTTATTTAAAATTTACTTTTTTTTTCCAGCTATTATTCATGGATTATCCAGTCTAACCGCTTATCAACTGCGAACTATACAAATATGTCAGTTTTTGACAAGAATTGCAGCAGGAAAAACCCTTGGTAAATATGAGTTTTTATCTTATATTGGACATATTTTAGTCTAAGGTAAGACAGAGAAACAGATGGGAACTATCATTTGTTTTTGAGAGTTTGCCCACATGTTTTTGTCATATACATCTACACACAAGCATATCTAAAAGAAGTAAAAAGAAATCAAGTCCCTATCTTAGAGCAGTGGTTCTCAAACTTCAGCCTGCTTCAGAATTATAATAGAGTGTGTTTTTAAAAAACAGAACGCTGAGTCCCCTTCCCCTCCATGAGTTTCTGATGCAATAGGATGGGTGAGGGGCCCTGGAGTTACATTTCTAATAAGTTCCCAGATGGTTCTCATGCTGCTGTTGGGGTTCCCTCTTCATCGGCTCTACCTTAGAGATTGTACTTTAAATTGGTATGGTAACTTTCTGGTCACTCTTACTATTATGTTATACACACTCCTTTTGTTACTGGCAGCTGTGATACTTGAAACCTCTTTAAGTTGATTTCAGGACTTCTTTGTATAACGGAGTATGATCTATAGCTATATTATCTCCCTTGTCCCCATAATTCATTTTAGATTGTAATGGGCAAGCCTGATTCAGTTGATCAGTAATGGCTGATATTACAACATGGTCATTTAAAGGACCTTTTGATGTAAATAATTACCTCACGGCCCTCAGTAGTCTAGCTCTGGCTCTGGTAGCATTCTTTATGCTAGGGGTGAGGTGCGGTCTGGAGTTGGGGCCAGGACCATAGGTGGATAGGACCAGAGCAGAGTAGTTATGAGGAGACAGAATTTTAGGTAGATCTGGGCCTGTTGCTGAAGAAAATGGGGTGATGTGGACCCAATTGCAGAATTCCTGACCATCCATTGCAGAATTCCTGACCATGCAGACCGTAAGTTAACAGGGTTATTAACAGAGTTGCTTTATAATTCAACATGACAAAAGATTCTAAAGTGCCCAGCTATGCTTCACATACAGCAGTTGTTCAATACATCTTCATTCCTCACCCAGCAACGTTTCCTCCAAAAAAAGGGGTGGGGAAAATCTTTCTTTCTTTTTTTTTTTTTTTT